GTGTGTGCGAGCTTCAAAGGAAGGAGGGGGGGAGGAGGGAGGAGGGGCGAGTCGAGGGTTAGGGGGGAGGAGACAGCGCAGCGAGGAGAGGCCTTAACTGGGAAACAGTGGCAATAAACAGGTCTAGCTTGTCTCTTCCAGACATGGTTAGGGAAACCACTGACATACTTTCAGGTTCTGTCTGCGCAGACATGGGGTGCACACACCAACATACAGCACATGGCATGTGTGCACACCTTCATGCAATGTTTGTACAGCGAGAACTTTCTGTCCTCAAAGTCCCAACGCGGCCTCATTGCAGAAATGAAATGTTCTGACTCAAAAGTATTGCTTCATCTGTGTCTGCCGTTAGGACAATGTGCTTCTCTTATTTTGAGCTATTTACTCAATAAAGTGGATCCTGATGTTGCCAATATCTGTATTACACAGCCCAGGTGCTCGTGTTACCTCTTTCCACAATGTGTGTCTGATAACTCCTGGACCAACCGAGTGCTGGGTTCAGTCTCAACACCCTAACAATCAGAGCCTTTAGATGTTTTAATGACCTCATGGAGACCCCCCCCCCCCCCCCTTTTTGTGACCAGAGTTTAAAACACAGGTTAATTGCACCTCTTTTACTTTTAAAATCTTTATTGATATCAAAGCTTGATATTGACATTATTGGTCTTTAAGTGAGTAAACCAATCGTCATTTAAGGTCCAGTTGTGTAACATTTATGAGGCTCTACTGGGAGAAATGAAATGAAATAAGGACCTGAATAAAGGGCTTCATCGTGTGTTTGTTACCTTAGAAGGAGTCGTTGCTACGGTGACACCAGCAAGAGACGAATCTCTCCTACACACCTTTTTCCATTGTGTGTGTTGATTCTGGCGCCCCTTGTGGACAGAAGCAGCTCCTTGTTTCATTGATTTCAAGGGGAAACCGACCTGGTGGCAGACATTAGGAATAACTGCACTGTAACTTAAATTAATCCTCCAAAAACAAAACAAAAGATTAAGATTGGGTAAACCAAATCAAAAAGGAATTGTTGAAGCAACTCAGTTGTTTTGAGTGAACTTAAATTTGTGCAGTATTTTAAGTATTAGTGATATAATTCCAGTTTCAAGTTCAAGTTCAAGTCCAAGATGTTTATTGTCATGTGCAACAAAAGAAAGCAAGTTTCCTCTGTGCAATGAAATTCTTCCTTTGCCTGTCCCACCCTGATACCGAATATAAGTACAATAAGTAGAATACAATAAGTAACAGAAAAACACAATATTAACCCAACAATAGAAAAGAGTAAAAAAGACAATATGGACAATAAGTCAGTAAGTAAAAAAGATAAAAAATAAAAAACTCAATATTACAGTAATTTTTAAAAGTGTCTGATGTGCAGTGTGCAATTAATGCTATGGGATGTGCAGTTTGTTCCATTGACTCATTTTCTTAATTATTTTATATTAGTTATTAGTATATATATAAAATGTATGTAATTATAATTCTGTACAGCTCAGGATTTTTCAGCTTTTGTATTTATTAATCATCAGTATGCATTGAAATAATTCTTAATTATCCCCCAAAGTGTAAAGATTTGATGTTAGTCACATAAAAAACACAGAAAATTAACCCACAGTTACCTTAACAATAAATATTTGACTTACTTCTACTCAAATCAAATATCTTTTGTTTGTTTGTTTCACAGTGTATGTAAATAAACAATCTTCTCTCTGCTGGTTTTGTTAGTTTATCAGAATCAGAATCAGAATTTTGTTTATTGCCAAGTAGGTTTTGAGGAATGTGACCTTGTGCAGTTGGTGCACTGCATATGGAGGTCATATATTAAACTGAGACTGTTAAAATCTCCTTTAATTGAAGGTGTAGTGACCCCACAGCGGTACATTTTGTGCTTGAGCCTTAAGACAAGGAGAAGTCTGCGTACAGTAAGCGTGCTTTATCTCTCGTGACCTCTGACCAACGTCAAGAGAGAAATTTCGCCAGTTCAGATGTCGAAACATCAAGGTTGTGTCAAAAGGTCAATGTAGTAACAAATGTTACAGGAACAAACACATTACCATCATTTCATCTACAGATTAAAAGAAAGAAAAGAAACACACTGACCTAAAATTTACTCACTGTTCCCACAAACGTTCTTACTCAAAACCTGAGACACACCTGCATCGGTCGGCTCCCCTGGCACAACGCACTGACATCCAACATCTGACGTCATCTTAAGATCTCTTTGCTAGATTACTAATAAACTCAGTACCTCAGAATAATAACTTTGTCATTAAATAATGAGAAAGTTTCTCATTATAGTGACTTAAAGAATCTTTTATCCCTCTCACATCGGCAGAAAATCTCTTCCAAACAAACATGTTGTTTTTATTTATCTTGTTTTTTAGAACCAACATTTGAGGCTAAGTTAAGTTCTTTAAATCAAAAACTGCGTGAATCAAAACAACAAATGTAGATTAAATTGAAAGTGTAAATGTCTGTCTGCAAATGAGCTGGGACCAGTGAACCAAAACCAAAAGCCTGTGAGCAGACTGTTGTTAGTATCCTGTGCGCTGAGGTTAAATCAAGGGTTCACTGCGGTTCAGAAAGGAAGCTACATTCAGCATTTCACCTCAGTCTCCTAATACGAGAGAAAACAAACATCTCCAATGTAGCACATCCTCGATTCCTCGGTAATGACGCTTCAGGACACTCTGCTTGTAAAGTACCTAGCCAATAACGAACAGAATTTTTCAAGAAACAAGATTAGAATCGTGATGTTGATTTCTCACCAAATCGAGATCCATCGCATAATTATGATGAAAATGTGAGCAGCACTGATGTAAATATGAAACTGTACAAACTCACAGCTATCATCACTGGCATCACCAGAAGTATGTTCTGACATGAATGGTTAAACCCGGGGGCGATGGACAGGAACCTGCAGCCTAAATGTGTATTATGGAGTTTTTATTGGCAGTGCTGGTTGCTCCACCACTTCTTCACGGTCCCCCGAGGATGAATGCTAATGATTTGGGTGATATCGCTTCCTCTAGCATCATCATATTTTATTCAGGTTGCTCAATAAGGTGGAACTTTATCTCTAAGTGGGTGTGATATCATGTTTATATGAATAGGGTTTAATACGCTTTGTGGAACACTATCTATTACTTCTAGTAACTATCTAGTCTTCCCTGTTTGCATCATTACTGAGCAGTTAGAGTCCATAAGGTCCCGTATTAAAGCGTCTCTCTTCGGGGACGTCACAGAGACTATGTCCATTTTTAATTATACAGTCTTCGGTCTTAACTGGAGGATTAGATGTGTGAGAATGCATGAAAGGAAATTATGTGATAGGTGTGAGTGGAAATGTCTATTATAGGACGGATTCTTTTTTATCTTGTAGCTGAGAGATTGTAACACCCTTTTTAAAGATGTTCTATTCTATATTTAATTTTATTTACTATTATTCATTCTTAGTTATTTCATTTTATTTTGTAGTATTTTGTAAGTATTTCCACTTCCTGTCTTACACAGCTATATAAAAGTGTACATATATATATATATATATATATATATTAAATCCATTAACAACATATATTATGTCGTTATAAATGTCTTTTTTTGTTCATCTGTTGTTGTTTTAATCATTTTCTGAACTTAAATACAATATGAATCATAAAAAAATGTTTAAATACTTTTGTTTATGATCAATCATAAAACTAATGACATTGCCATCAACCTCAACTGCACCTTTGTGTTTAGTGCTTGATAATGTCTTACGCTAAGATGTTAAGCTAAGATGGTAACCATGGTAAACATTACACCTGCCACACATTAGCGTATTAGCATTATCATTGTGGGCATGGTAGCTGACGTTAGCATTTATTGCCACCTGATTATTGAAGCTGTGAGGTAAACAGTTTCACATGTGTCAGAATTGCACGTCATTTCACGTAAAATATGTACAAAACAAAACTTAATTTTGACGGCCAGTGTACACAAACAACAGGAGTGACTTTACCACTTTATCTGATGTAAGTCATAACAAAGGCAAAAGACAGATTAACATCTGTTTTTGCTTGCAAACGCGAGGAAATTAGAAACAAATACAAAAGTGAAATGATAGATTTCAAGAACTGCATATTGAATTATTATAAGTGGAATTAAAAATGGGCCTCTGAAACAGAGTAATGAGTAATGAGAGATTAAAAGAAACCTTTAATACGCTGTTAGTGAAAACAGAAGTGTATGCATGTGTGAAACTAACAATTTCAACCACAATTTGTATGTAAACTTAATATTAACTTAATATATTGGATACTCAATATATGATTAATATATAATGGTTAAAGTTAAATAGAGGCTCATTAACATGTTATCCACTACAGCAGTAGTGTAATTACAGTCTCTACATTTCCTTTCCTGTGCAGCTGGTGACTTTAAAGTCGACCGTATTCTGTACAGATAGCTGATCATTTATTATATTTAATAAAAGACACACAGCGTTATCCAAGTATCCAGTTGGTTGTGTGCTCAAACAACATTTACTGAGCATATCTGAAAGTTAGATACGAATATCAAGACCCCTCTCATGTCTGTACGATGAATATAAAGCCAGGAGACGGTTAGCTTAGCTCTGGATAAAGACTTGAAGCTGGGAGGAACAGTTAGCACCTCTAAAACTCACTAAGTAATATCTCGTTTGTTTAATCCATGAAAATAAGTGTACGACAAGTCAGATTGTCAGACATGAGTCATGCTAGCTGTCTTCTCTTCCAGTCTTTATGCTCAAAATATCTTTTAAAGACAAGCATGTGATAATCAATAATTCAGAAGAAAGAGAAAATGTCAAACTATTTCTTTAACTGACAAATAATATAGAAAGTAATGCATTACCTATTGAGCACCTGGTCATGCTTTATGACGATGCATAATTGTTATGAATGCCTGCAGGTAAAGATCGTGTGTAGAGTATATACAGATATATAGAGATAATATAAAGGTAATCATTAAATGACAAAAAATGTGGAATAAGACAGAGTCTGTTTATTAAGAACTGATCCTTTAGAAAAATCCAAAAATAGCAAATCTTACACATTAGTCATCAAAATATTTAATTTCATTTAAAACCACAAAGCTTTGAAAGGCATACAAGTAAAAAATCAAAGGGATGGGCTAGGCCAGAGATGGCACAAAGAGCCGGTGTTTGTTCATTATCAGCCACGTGTCCTCGAGCAAGACGCTCTGTGAAGGTAAGAGCCTCAGCTGAATGAATAAAACACAACATTTCCATCTCTCTCTATAAAAACATCTGGTACAAATACTCTGAGAACTCTGAATAACACATGTGATCACTGGTATGACATAGTCATTACAAAGGAAAGACAACACTGAATGTGCTTCCTCCCACTTCCTCAATGGAAATTTCAGTACCTTGCCAGTTCTTGAGTGTTTCAGCGTGGTTGTTGCTTTCACTCTCAACTATGGCTAACATGTATGTACAGAGTGCACTTAATAAACTAATCAATAAATCAATAAAACAGTATGTGAAGGAATGGTTTACATAGCAATAAAAAGTCATAAAAAGTCATAAAAAGCAAATTTTTTTTCTGCTGTACTTTCAAAAATGCGTAAAATCCATTTACCCTTGTTTTTTTTAAGATCAAACAACTTATAAAAACATTGATTACTATACAGTATGTTGACAGTGAATCCAACTTCACCTGAGAAAGACAAAGAAAGAAAGTAGTACATTCACTTTTTCGGAAATCAACTTCGGCTTGGGAACCACATACACATCTTAGCCTTGCAGAAGCCAGTTGAACACAGGTGAGCTCAGTTTTACTGTCTAATCATGGGGGATATCCCCCGAGTTCCATAACACCTGCAACTGGAAACAGGTGTTCAGAACGTCGATGCAACTTACAATACCTCAGTTTAAAGGTCGGGGTTACACTGGGGCTCTTGAAATTAATGGTTCTGAAACTGCATTGTCTATTTCTTGTGTCAAATTGATCAAGAAATCAAATTGGATTGATCATTTTCAGGAGAAACTTCTTTCTAGATTAATACCAAAGACCAATGGCACACTGGGCCAATCAGGCCAAGGAATCATTCTTGGTGATGTATTAGCTAAAGAAGGAACTAGTCTGTAATCAAGCGAACCGTCTAGAAACAATGCCTTTTGTCCGGCTATCTATCCAATTGGCTAAGGTACACTAATGTTATAGCCCAAGCAAATGCCCACTGACCCTTACTGGGCCAGAAGGGGTGATAATTTCCTGGCTTTGCAAGGCTAAACAAGACCAAAGCGTTCCTTCGGAGCTGCTTCTGCTTTTTTCTTGCTACCAAAAACTTTACTTCTTTTAGTCACTTTGCCGAGTTGCTTTGATCCAGTCAGCCAAGGTTGTAAAGTGGTTGTCGGAGGCCATGCCGTTGTTTGAGTAGGGATTTTGCAGGTTTTTAAGAGCCTGGGTGTTGCCGCTAGCATCTTGTCTCATTGGATCCATGTTGGTGCCATTGCTCATTGGACGAGGAAGCAAGTTGATGTAAGTATTTCCTTGGTTTTCCCTTGGGGATTGCATGAGGGGAGCATGGCTCTCTTGTCCCACTGTGATCTGGGGCTCCTGCTTCAGCTGGAAGCCAGTCTGAGACATTCCCACCAGACCCTTCACAAAAGCTTCATCTTCATTTATTCCCTCTAGGAAGGGGAAAGAGTTCAGCCCTTGTGACCCCCCTCCGCCTCCAGGTACCGACCCGTTAAAGTTGTTCTGGATTGGATTGAGGTTATTGAAATTGGGCCACGCAGTCTGGAGACCCTGGTTCTGGTTGCCAAGATGGTTCTGGGCCCGGGTGTCAGAGGCGAGCTCCTCCCTTTGGTGCTGCATGTGGAAGAGCGGCTGGGACTCTGACTGGCTCATTCCTGGGACCTGGGTGACTGTATCCAAGCACTGCAAGTCCCTAATGGAGAGCTGAGGAAGGATGTTACTGTCGAAGTTGTTGGGCTCCACTCTCTGGGGGTAACCGGTTCCACGGTTTGGCTGCTGTTGCCTGCTATTAGGACGTGACAGATTGCTCATGGCACCAGACGGGTTTATGGTGACTGTTTCCATTGAGAGTGCTGGGTTGGGATTTGCCCATGAATTAGGAGCCTGTGACGTCATCATCACATTTTGTGGGCCTGGCTGGTAGGACTGGTTGAACACAGCAGGTTGTTGCTGCATCGTAGGTGTGGGCTGTTGCCTCAGGTACATGTTGCTGAGGTCTGGAAAACATATAGTGACTTTAAGTGTATTATCTTGATCTGGATGGAAATGTTGGCTTAACATCTAATTACTGCTATTTGAGGGAAATCAAGTTAAACCTCTCCTACCTTTCCGCATGTGATTCATGGTGCTCTGTGACACTGCTTTTGGCCTGTTCATAGCCAGGCAAGCAAAAGCACCACCTAGAGAAAGGCAGGAAAACTTTGTTGAAATACAAACATGTAGACTTGCATACATGCACATGTGGGGTCATATCAGATGGGTTGTACTGTATATACTGTATATACTCTTACCAGACAATCCTGGTATCCTCATCAAGTTCTCTCTCTTGCGCTTCTTCTCATTGTAGCCGTAAGGATCTACAGCAAACACATGTTCACATATATTATCTGAGTCTAACTGGGCCCCAGTTCTTGGACACAGAATATAGCAATAGTTTGAGTTTAATAACAGAAAGAAGGCGATCACTGCTCACCTTTGTCGTCGGGCAGATATCTGAAATCCATCGGTTCACTGACTTCCTGATCGGAAGGTCGGCGCAACTGCATGTGCACAGTGACCGACTCTATTATGGAGGTGTTATAGTAAGAAGGAGTCTTGAAGACGATGGCTACTTGGCGATGAACGTCGGCCTGGGAGAAGGAACCTTTGGCCTCCCAGCCGTCGGAGGAGAAGAATCGCACCTCAATGTCATCTGGAGGAAAGGGAGATGATGGGATGACAGGAATGGAAGAGTGAGTGAACATGCAAAGTGATGAGCACTACAGCTATAAGAAGCTAAATGGATTAATGGACTGAATGAAGACGATTGGAGAGAAAATAGATGCAAGCTGGATGAAACATAAAATAAAGTGCTGATCAATTCTTTGCAAAGGCCTACAGGACATTGATAGTTTGTACCTTTCTGTACTTTGTCACACAGCAAGAAGATTTCATCCCCTCCCTTGACGCTGCCACTGTTCCTGTTGACCCGACAGATCCTCAGCTCAGCTGTGTTTGGGGCCCCTGATGAAGCAGGAACACGTTGTAAACAGACGCAACAAATCTAACAAGTCTGTATACTAACGCTTTATGGAACATACTATACGACCTGTATGCTCACTGAGTGGAAGACTTTTAGTATCTTGAACAACTACAATGACACTAAAATTAACTTCGGGGGGCTGAATTAGATTTCTGTTTGGTCTGTTTGGTAAACAGACGCAACAAATCTAACAAGTCTGTATACTAACTGCGTTCATAAGACATGATATCAAGAATGAGGATGCCAGAATCTGCCTTTACTTGATCTACTTGATGCATTGTTGTGAAAACCCAGCTTTAGTGGCTTAGTGTAAATCAGTTTAGAAAAAGACCACATTCAGTTTACAGTTGAAGCCTCACCAGGTTGAGTCACATGTCACATGCTTTGCTGTCAGAAGAGGAAGTGCTCCATGGTAACAGTGTTGTTTGAGGGTTAGTGTGTATAAAGAACTTCCTCTTTCTCAATGTGTGTGAGGAACATTGAACCGGTTCACTAAGTGCAACACTTGAAATGGCGTTTAGTGAATGTCCACTGGACACAAGTCTTGTGACAAACACTTGCGTGCACAGCAGCAGGTACGTACTGTATGAAGTGTATGTGTACACACAGGTACTTGTGTAACCTCTCAATTGTTTTCATTCAAGTATTATTCTTTCTATCTTTAGATTACTGGGAAATTAGTAAAATTATAGGCAAGGCTATGAAATGACAGGAATATTAGAGCTCTTGAATTCCACTATCAGTCAGAGCGGGACACACCTAACATTTGGCTGTTTGTTTTCCCGTAAGTACAATTATCTGGCAATTGCATAATGTTTTAATTGCCCCATGTGATGTCAGCCTGAGCTGAAGAGGACGAAGCTTAGCCACTCACTGTTGTCGTAGATGGGGTTGGTGACAATGGGGTTGAGCGGGCGGGTGTAGTGGCCGTTCTCGTCCTGCAGGATAACCTGGATGCACAGACGGACCACGTTTAAGTCGTACTCCTCCGTCTGCAGCAGCTGCTCACGTGGCACTGAGGGCACACACACAAACAAACGGGTGTCAGTAAGACAAACAACCAGCAGCATGAGCAAAGGATCACACAGGTTTCATCAGGTTTCACTCTGATACTACACAGAGCACACAGTTGTCATTAAATAACAAAGAGATTAGCTTCAGGTTTCACTGAAATAAAAGTAGGAACACTATGAACTACACTAAACTTACATATTAAAAAAATTATACTAAGATGAATAAAAATGGTACTAAGAAGTATTATCAGTATTTTACAGTTGTAATTAGTTGAGGTGGAGCTAATTTGAACTGTTCTTACTATATACTGACTAGTTTAATCTATGACATTACATATTTTATAAACTCATAATGTGTTTTGCTTGAATAAATCTTCTCAAATTCTCCAACTTTAGGAACTTGTTTTTCCATAAACTCTGCCCCTGTTACTCTGCATAATCCAAAGAGTTAGTTGAAAGAAATTTTCCACGGAACTACTTTCTACTGACAAAATAGTCCCCTTTGAAAACTGTTAATAGCACGGTCTGTGGACAATCTTTTGTAAGCAGGACTTTGTTTATGACACAACACTTTGAATATTAAAGGTGGATATATCTCATAATGAGTCCAGACACCAAAAAAACCAAAAGGAAACAATCTCTTTCGGTAATTTGGATGGAGTGACCTTTTAAGATCTCTTCTGAAATGCAAATTGTTTTCCCCTCCTCTACTTCCCTTTTTATGGGGCTATATACCGACAATATAAGCATGCTGCAATTGCGTCATCATTAACATAATCACAGAATCGTTTAACAAAGCAAAGCTACAAAAAAACTGAACAATTACTGACATAAACAAATGGATAGATGCTCTGTAATGTTCTTTTTTAAACCTGTAGGCTGTCCTCAAAACCTCAACTTTGGATCAACACTAACACGTCACAGATAAGCTTTTTCATCCACAACCTACACACTCATCTGCACACACACACACACATGCAAGCGTCACACATATACCGCCCTCAGAGGCAACACACAAACACACACACACCTTGCAGGGAGAGCTTTACTGTGAGACGCCAACGCACAGATACACACACACACACACTAACACACACCAGGCTTTCACATCGGCCTACTTTCAGTTCCTCCATCTCTCAATTTCTATCTGTTGCCCTCACGGCAAGGCCATCCCCGCCTACAATTTGTTGCCACGGTGACGCTCGCCACCTCACCTCAGAGTGGAAGAAGTGTGTGTGTTAGTGCGCCTATGTGTGTGTGAGTGTCTCCCTGAGTGACCACGATGGCTCCTGACGTGTGTGAAAGTGGTGGGACAGGAGCCAAGTCAAATCTTTAAAACTTTTAAAGCTTTTTGAGTCCTTCGTCTGTGTCTCTCAACCATTTTAGTGCCATCATTGCCACGCTGTACTGCTCTGAACACTTTCCATAGCAATAATACAAACGTTATACAACAAAAAAAGTGCAGTGCAGTAACACGTGAGATGAAGGGAAACTCCTCAGCCTTGCTGAATGTGTCACTGGACATGCTCAGTGCAAACAGCCGGCTAGGTATTTTTCCTGCTCTGTCTCTGCATGCATTGCTGGCAGCAGCCATTATTCCCTCTTTCCCTCTCAAGGCTCGAGTCCAAGTGAAGTCACAGGTCATCAGTGCAGTCGGTTTGGATTTTGCTTAGTCAGAAGTCATTAAATGTGTAACTTGAGTCTGGATGGAGTCCACGGCTGTGCAATTAACAAGCAGAGAAAAAGAGCAAAGCAACTGCTAACATGTCTCTCCAAGAGCTTTAGCCCCCGCTGGAGCATTTTTGTAAGAAATGATACACGTCGGCGTCAACGTGAAGCTTCAATCTTTGTTCAAACAGTCTGATATTAGATATCTGATTCAGCCAAAACATGTCAGCCTGGCTCTGATTATTATTACAGGGTTCTGTATTAGATGGCAGACTGTCTGACCTGCTTCATATCAGTGACGGTTCTGTTTGGATGCAGCCAGAAATAGTTTAACATCTTGGGAAATACATTAATTTAAGATTTTTAGAGACAAGACAGAGTTTCATATGTTTGGACGAAGCCCTGCTAGCTGTTTCCCACCTGCTTCAAGCCTTAATGTTAAGATAACTGTCTGCTAGCTTTACATATTTGTTGAGAGTGGTATCAATCTATTAGTCTCAGAAAGTAAATAAGCATATTTCCCAAAATGCAGAACTATCATTTACCATCAAGCATCTGACGGCTGTAAACATCTCAGAAGTCAAATCATTTTAGAGTTTATAAATGAATATGACAGAGACATCACAGAGCATATTTAGAGTATGAAGTCTTTACTTTCAGTTCCTTCTGTTTATAAAAAGAAGAGCAGCAGTTGTTGCTCAGATAAGAATAATTTACGCTTAGTTCAAAAGGAAATACTGTGTGTGCTGTTTTATAAGCAGATTTAAAACCATTATATGTTTATATGATTACAAAATAAGTATCTCATTGGAAATATCACTAACCAGTACAGTATTAAAGACTCTTACAGAATAAAGATTACTTACAAGGTGCTTACAACGTATTAATTATGAGTACTGTGTAGAGTACTACACAGTTACTACTACAGTTTTAGGTGCAGTATTGTAAGATATGCCAGTTTTTATTATTATTTATTTCAACTTAAAGATCTAAATTGAGATCAATCAACCACCCAGTGAGCTCTCGGGGGACTGTTAATATGGCACTTTTGTCTGGAGTGTCTGCACTTGCATTAAAATCACACATTGTTGCACTATAGAACATAACAGGTATAAAAAAATGTAATCTAGTTTCATTTTGAATCAACAGACACACTTTATGGAACACTTTATGGAACATACTATACGACC